ACACACACACACACACACACACACACACACACACACACACACACACAATCTGTACTTGCACCCACACACAATCTGCTTCACCAGTAGGATAAAAGTTGCAGAGTTGGCTGCAGATCACACGGGATATAAATAAGGTAAAGAACATATTATAATCAGGGATAGCCTCTTGCTGTATATATCTATTGTCTCATTTAATTAAATAACACGTTTCTACAATGCAATTAAATAAAAAAATAAATTACAGGTATACAACGTGCAGGTAAATTACAAACGTCCTTACCTCTCCAGGCTGTTACCAGCACCATCAAGCTCCAAACAACTTGATGAACTCCGGTTGGCTTTAAATGACCAGTTATTGTGAAAAGCCAGATTTATACAGCAGGCGTCATCACATGGCGCCTCCTACTGACCATTGGCTGCCTGATGTCCGCAACTCGGCCAACCAGCGCTCGACAACATTGTATAAAAGCTTTGATAAATCTATAATAATAGGGTCTTGAATGGGAGTCAGTTCGTATAGACCCATAGACAATATTTTTCAATTTTTTCTTAATGGTACAGCAAAAAATGAAGAATGACATATACTAGTTTGATTTTAGGTTTTGATTGTAGGTGAAAAAAAATGAATCAAGCCAAACAAAGTCTGGTTGAAAAACAGAATGGACTTCTGTAGATAAGGGTGCGTGGAACCTATCAATAGTTGGCTAGATCAATAACGACTATTGATAGAGAGGAAGACTGGACACTCCCTTGTTTGTTTCAGTTGCGTAAAGTGTTTACGTGTGCGGTGTTTACCACGAAATTATCTGCTGAGATTGCAAGTCCTCACACACACACACACACACACAGAGAGAGAGAGAACACACACGATTTAACACATCGTCCGCGAATGACTGACTTAGGTCATTTCTTGGTTCTAATGTGACACTGCATTATTATTTAAACGTTCTCAACATCTTACAAAGATTACTCCTTAATTCCTCATCGACATGATGACAATTTGCATGACCAATAATTTGCCTTCTGACTGTCGTAAATAATGCAACAGGAACGATTTTCTGATAATAAAGTTCAGTTTTTAAAAGTGTATTTATCATTGTTCGATTGTGCCCCTTCGTAGACATTAGTCCATAGTCCACATTTGCTCATTTTAGACTTTAAAAAAATAATGTTGACTCTCTGTAGGTCTAGAAGTATAAGTTAACATCCGATGCGTTTGAAAGTAGGGTTTTTATCATCGGTCAAACCCTGTTATCCAGGTTGTCCACTTGCAGCGCGCTATGCTGAAACTGTAATCAATATGCAAAGCAGTCACTGAGTGACCAACAGTGACTCTGTCTGAATAAACACTGACATGGTAATTTGTGCTGTTAAGTTGATCAATACCTCTGATTAAATGCTTGGAATTCAAATTATTTTAATCTGTCAGCCTGTAAATCCATTCAGGTTGATGGGGCATTTGATCAATCATAGGTTAATTAACTAATCAGACTGTCTGAGTATCAGCCATTTAACTGATCAACTGAGCTCACTGTTTGTCATTGTCACAAACTCATTACAGAACACACACATTAAATACAACAAGTACAGTGTTTCCTGCACTTTATCAAAAGGGTTCATTGATCCGATAGGATACTCAACATTTTACAGGATGTCACAGATTTTCAAGACAGGATTGAGTTGTCTGAACTACCACAATAAACTGTAAAATACTCAAGTTTTAAATTCTGTATTGTGTTAGTATCCATGGGGACACTTGAAATAAAAGGTTGTCATTGAAGCTACAAGAGTTGCCACACACAATAGGAAAATGAGTTATCTTTGATCTGTTCTCTTGACAACTTGCTGTTTAAAATGGAATTAACGCCACCTTGTGGTTATAGGTGGTGCTAGCAAATGAAAGAATAATGATACAAATATCACAATACGGTTGAATAAATGTCTTTATTGCACATTCATAACTGGAATAAAGTTTTTGGTACAGTAATGCTTTGCAAAATCTAACAACATCAAACACAGTGCAACATGGCAGAAAAACGGGAACATAGAAACAACACATCAATATAAATTGCTTTTTTTAGTCAGAAGAAATATAATAATTTCCAACTTTATACATGATTGGACAGCCATTGATATATTTTGACTGGTCTGATCATTGCTTGATATTTACATACATGAGCTACATTAATAACACAGGCAGTGATTTTGTCCCTGGATTTGTTGTCAGTGCATTAATGTCCACAGTTGTCAGGGTCCCTTCATCAGTGCAGGCCGCCCCCTACAGCCATGAGACCAAGTGCCAGCGAGAGCAGCAACGTCTTTTTGAAGCCTTCAGTTCCTGCCACTGCAACAGGAAAGACGCAGGGAGTGGAGGAGGAAGTGAGAGACGGGAAGGGAGGGGTAAGTAAATGACAAAACACTTTAAACCCATGACATCTTATCACGTGAAAATGCACAACCTAACCTGTGTGTCTTTGCTGTATCTTTGAATTACTTATTTAGTGATGTATACAGTGTTACACCATTACCCCAAACATCTCTGATCCCATACTGGCCTTGAAGCACTACTACAATGAATTTATATCGACAATAATTTATCTGCTGCACTATGCATCTTACAACAGTGCCCAGAACACAGCTCTAAAGGAATGTCTAACCCAGATAATCCATTTTCTAATACCCAATACTTAAGCAAACATAGATAACATTTGACAAAACATTCCACATCCATTACTTCACAGCAGAAACAAAGAAACTCCGATAACTGCTGCCCTACTTTGACCTCTGTTGAACTAGACTAGAGCAATGAATGGTATGCTACGGCCGTGAACAGACCAAATGGAACTATCAATAGTCCTAAAGGACCATGTTTATGCATTTTTTACGTTATCACAACTAACAGTTGTACATACCATTCTGCTGTGTATTAGACATTTAGATGTACTGTATTTTGTCTACAGTTCCAGGGATCGATTGATTTCTGTTCATTTCTATGTGACGTGAAAATCTATGAGCACACACTCTTGAAACATGCTATGGTTATAATAATCAATTACACCTTATACAGCTTTACTAGTAATTCATCACTTTTGTCAGTATTACAGGAGACATAAGTACATTATTTGTGTACGGTTAATGCAGTAAAGACTTTTGAAGCCAATCTGTGCGAAACCGCATTGCAAAGCAATAATAATGTAACATTGACCATAACTAATGCAAGCGCGATGGACTACTCAACTTAAGCAAGTTTCAAAGTCATCTAACCAATAGTTATGCTATACACAAAAGAATGGAAAGCAATGCCTGCCTGCAGGGAGAAATACATTAAAACAATCAATATCTGCATGCAATCAAACATGATATATATAGATATATAACATTATGCTGAATATAATTGGCTTTGAATCTAGTTTTAATGTAATGTAAGGTTGCTAAAGAGTGACGGACATATTTTAAATATCAACACAGTACTGATATACTGTGGTACTTTACACACCGTACGCTGTGAACAACAGATCTTACCATTTGAGATTGTGGAGTTTTCTGGAATTGAAAAAGATAGAAAAAGGGAGTTAACAGACAACCCCTCATCAATGGATGTTCAGATTATTGCACATACTGATGTTACGTCAACACACATGCACATGGGAGTGAGACTGACGCACATGTCATTTACACAATCACGACACATGCATACACACTTATGATGGTGAAAGTGGTCTCCATGCCGGCATGGATGTGATCAGTGACGTGACAGTGGAGCAACCAAGTCCCCGGGTTCCCAGCAACCATCTCCACAGTCTGGAAAATCCCGGGGAAGAGATCAAAAACGTCCGCACGGTGCACATGGTCCGTCTAACACACACAGCACATACAATACAACAGAAGGGAACAGAGAAAAAGAAACATGCTCAAACGGAGCAGAGAAACTTTCTGCGTGGGCATGTAGAGATTTTCATGCTCAAGAATAACATTTATTTCTACAATCAACACTTGAAATGATGAAGGCACCTGCAAATGACAAGGCAGCACAAAATGCAAACCACACTTTGGTGCCCCGCTTTCACCGCCCCACCCAAGACCTCACCAAACCCACCCTACTTTTGTTTCCACAAAATGTACCAACGAGGAAGATCTTGCGGAGATAATGATGAGAATAAATAGGAAACACAATTTTAATCATACCCGCTAAACCAAAAAGGAAATCTGGTTTGAATTGACACCAAACGCTGTTACTGAGCTTGTTTACAAGATGTTTAGCCAAGGCTCATCTATAGAGGGAACCAAAAGGTACATCTTTGGATAGATGGGAAAAACAACACTGAATGGAAATACTATTGACTCCTTCAGCCTATAAAGAATTCATAAACAGTTACTGATCGGTTTGGGATACACTCAAACAAACTGCTCCCAAATGTAAACCGTTGACTGGACTGAAAACAAATAAAGCCATACAACTTAAATTATATTTAACGTAAACAAAATATTTTTAATGATCTCAGTGCGTTCTGCTTTCCGAATATGCAAAGCATTCAAGACAAACCTCCACTGAAGGCACATTTCAACACACAATGCAGATGTAGCACCTTACCGCACGTTTCAGACGGTTATAAACGTTGACAACACCCGATATCAGAATTTCAGTATTCACCTGAATTCAAACAGACCCGTTCTACACTGTGTGGATATGGAAGGATGGAATGTGTGTGTGTGTGTGTGTGTATATATATATATATATATATATATATATCC